AATATGCTCCGGCGTTAAACGCTGGTGCCCCGCTCGTTGCGCAAAAGATTGTGCTTCTTGAAGTGTTTTTTGTGCCGCTTGAGTGTACTTGGATAGGTCCAAAACTCCCTCCTTTAAAATTGGTCTTCAACAGAATTCAGGGGGAGCCAACCCAATCCAAAAAGGCAAAGGGCAAGAGGCCTCCTCCTGCCCTTATAGTGTACGCTTGCTAAGGTGTAACCTCAATATCAATTTCAACAACAGAAGTCTCATCCTCAGCCTCTTTTTTTGTCTTCGAGGGAGAAGCTTCCACCTTCTTATGAGGCTTTGCTTTTGTGCGAGGTTTTCTCACTGTCTTCTTTTCTGTTGGAGGAGTTCCTTCTTCTAAAACTTTTTCTTCTTTTGTTGCTGAAGTTTTAGATTTGTTCGATTTTTCGCTCTCTTGAGTTTTCTCTACGGAAGATTCTGAAAAAGCCGCCTCCCCTTTGCCATTTTCTTCCACTTCCATATCCATCTCAGTGGGAGATGGAACAGTCGGCACCAATTCACTGTAAACTCGTTGAAAATGTTCTGCGTGTTGGAAATACCCTTCTGCCGTTGTCCGGTCACCACTCATCCGGGCATCACGTGCAAGAGATAGATACTTATCAAGCTGCTGCTTTGCGTGATTACGTTGTCGTGCAATATTTTGACCCTGATTTCCGCGAGAGCGATTACGACCTCCGGAACGTCCAGAAGGACGCCTAGAATATGCGTTTTGTTTCATTTTTTTCCGATTGGTTTGTGTTTAACTCTTAAACGTTCAACTCAGGTCTTGCGATTTCTTCGCAACCATCAAGTGAACAAATTAACAAGGTAATATTAGCGCAACCACTCACATTTGCCAAGGATTTTTCTCTGAACAATTCTCAACAAGTAAATTTTAACAAGACACAAGAAAAGGTCTCAAAATAAAAAACTTGATAATTTGTCTTTTATTGTTTTAGATTTTACTTTTTAAAGTTCCTACGCAATAAATAAAAAAATGAAGAAAAAAATTATTAGAGCCCTTGTGCTATCACTTCTTTCTATATCCTCGCTCAGCGCCTCTGAAAACTCTAGTTTACAAACAGATCAGTTTGATTTCCTTTCTAAAAAATACCCAAATCTAGCATCTGAGGCGGAACAACCTCTCTCTTTTGTTCATATAGAAAATGAACACTATGAAATTTTAAATCGTCAAGAAGAACCTGAAAGTTTTTTATTCAATACAGTCACAAATGCTATCCAAACTCCTATCTATGACCTCGCATACGGCGAACAATATAGAGATTTCTATAGAGAGCAATACGACCCTATGGTTGAACAATTTAGTAAAAACCATCCCACTAAGGGCTATTTTGGCCCTGTTCTCCAACGACAAAAAGAAAACCCTACTACCTTAGAAGCCATTTTACTTGCCGCTCAATATGGTCGCCAAGCTATGCAACTCATTGGAACGGGAGACGTCCTATTTTTGGGGAGAACACCTTGCTTAGTCCAAGTTACCTTTGAAGAAGTTCTCAACGCAGAAAATGACACTGAACAAAATGTTTACCATTTAAATTTTTCTGGCCACCCAGATGCCTTATCCAAAAGAGAGAGCTCTCATTATCATACGAAAACACATATTATGCGTTGCATTGTGAGCCCAGAAAAATTAGAGCACTATTTTAATTACATGGAGTCGCAAGGGTTATCAAACTGCAGCAACAAATTATATATTTTTGACGCTCAGTTCTGGAAGTGGTCTCAATAGCTTTTTAAGAGTCCTCAATGCGTTCTATGAACGCCAGGGAAGAGAGCCCTGTTAATATTCTTGAATCTATCAACAGACCTTAACTGGGGCTTTCCGCGCCCTACATACACCTTCGAGTCAAACGATGAGAATTTCTGGAAAAATCATGGCACGTTAACACTACATGCAGATGAAGAAGCAAACTGGAAAGAATTTACTCTACAAGCAATCTCTATTCCAGTATTTCAGGCTGTTCTCACAAAAATCCTTGATGAAGATATGTTCCAGGAGTTTTGTATCCACGGCATTCAATACCCTGCGCAAAAATGGGCACCGGAACATGATGAGAAAAGAGCCCAAGGTGGTGAATTTCACAAGCTAATTTATGACTATGTAAGAAGTAAAATTTCTGAACTCCTTGCACAAGAATAATATTAACAAGTAAGGACGAACGATTTTCAGAAAAAAGCGGGGAAGGGGTTGCTTCCCCGCTTTTTTCGGTTAGATAAACCCCTCAAGCCCAAAGCGATTCTTTTTAACCCGCCAACTCCTTCAACACTTCTGGAATAACGCGTTCAATATCTTCTGCGATCAAACCTAACCCTATTTTGTTTGCCGCCTCCCCATGAATCCAAGTTGCTGCTGCAGTACTATAAAAGGGTTCCACACCTTGAACCATTAAACCTGCGACTATTCCCGCCAAAACATCCCCTGTTCCTGCGGTGGCTAAGAATGGAGGCGCATTTGTATTAATACAACATTCCCCGATACCATTCGCGATAATGGTATCGGCTCCTTTTAATAAAAGAGTACTCTCTATCATTTTAGAGGCCTCTAAAACCGAACTGACTTTACAATCGAAACGTGGAAAAAGTCTTTTAAACTCTCCTTCATGGGGAAGCAAACCACACTTTTCATGAATTAATGAAAAGAAACGCTCTTTATCTTTTTTTAAACAAGAAAGTCCACCTGCATCAAGAACGAGAGGCTTTTTCGTTTTTAAACAAACTTCTACCAAATCCTTTGTTTTTGATGTGGGCTCTAAGCCAGGCCCAAACAAGATACCATCCACCTTTTCTGATGTAAAAACCTTTTCAAAATCCTTACTATCCTTATAAGACTTGACAATTTCTCCATAAGCGGTGATTCTATAAAGATACTTAACAGACTTTGGGCAAACAATGGTCACAATCCCAGCACCAATCCTGCGACTGGCTTGTGCCGCTAATCTTGCCGCACCAACCATACTCTTACCTCCAACGACAATCAAATGCCCACGAGTGTATTTATTATCTGAAGGTTCTGGAAAATTCAGACTACTTTTCCATAAAGCTGGAGTGTTCTTATAGGTGACTTGGTCATTTAATGTGCACCTTCCCAGACCAATATCTGAAACTTTAACGTCCCCACAAAAGATTTTCCCAGGCAGCAAAACATGGCCTCGCTTTAAAGCGCCCAGCGCAACAGTTTTAAAGGCACGAATCGCTTGCCCCATCACCTTACCCGTATCACTATTCACGCCACTAGGGATGTCTACAGAAATACACGGTAGCTTGAGTTGGTTCACTTTTCGGATAAGTTCCAAATAAGCTCCCCTTACAGGCCTTTGAAGCCCTGTCTCAAAAAGTGCATCCACAATTAAATCTACTTTTGAAAAATCACAAGAGTTTAAAGAGACAATTTCTCCATACCATCTGGATAGGTTGCATTGCGCTTCTTCAGAGAGGTGTTTTACCTTACCTTTATCATGAGCCACCACCATATCTCAGCCTAAGTTTTTCAGCTTTCGCGCAACAACATATCCATCGCCACCATTGTTGCCAGGACCACACAACACAAGAACAGAACGTTTTGAAAACCCTTTTAAAATTTTTTGAACAACAGCTTCTCCAGCCTTTTCCATTAAACCTTCATATGTTTTTTTTCCCAATTGAACGGCTTGACTTTCACACCACTTCATCTGAGACGAAGTAAGGATGGGCAATCTTTCAAAACGATCTTGGAACATCCCTTCCTCCTAACACGAGATATGATACTCCCAATCTATAACATACTTAAAAAAAACATATCCCTAAGTTTCACCAAAGATATCATGATATTTTAAAAGAGTTTACGTGCTGGGCAGCATACATTGTGCAGATGTATCAACTTCATTCTTAAACTGTGCAATAAAGCTTTTCATGAACTGAAAACGCTGCAGTGCCTATTTCTTTGCTGATAGAGTATTCATTTGCTCCACAAGCTTGAACAACTTCGTATAGAAATGATCGATCATAAATACTTTATCGTCTAGCTCACGAGATTTTGCAATAGGTTCATGAGGGCTGTAATACTGTGCTCCCATTCTAGACCCACAAGTTACCATTCTCATAATACCAACAGCTCCCATCGCATCCAACCGATCTGCATCTTGAAGAACTGCAGATTCAATCGATGATGGTTTTTGCCCGAGTGAAAAACTGTGCTCAATAATAACAGACGTGATTTTTTTTATTTCTGCTGCACAATACCCCAAACTCTAAAGATTTTTTTCAGCCTCTAACGCAGCCATTTGGCTTGCCTTCTTCCTATCAGGGTGATTTTTTGGAATATTTACAATGTCATGCAGGATCGCTGCTGGTATTAAAATATTAAAATCAGCTGATTCCAATGAGCCTATTTTTTCACAAGTATTTACAACCCGAAAAATATGAGAAAGGTCATGGCTGGGATCACCATGTTCATACCTGCATTTCACAAAATTAAGAAGAGTTTCTATTTTTTCATCAAAAGCTCGCATTAAAACTTGCCTTTCTCAATTTAAGGAAAGAACACAAAACTTGAAAACACTATGAACTTAAGCTTTTACAATCAAGACATAAAAACCTTGATAGAAAACACCTTAAGAAACTTTTCTATTTTCTCCTGCCAGGCCATCAGCCAACTGATTTTCTGTTGGTTGATCCAAAACATCACGACGTTGAGCTAATTGATATGTTAAACGTTGTGCACGCACAGGATCCATTTTAGCCAAAATCGCAGAACCTGCTGATTCTTTCATATTCTCCATCAAATCCAACAAAACAGATTCATTTAAAGCCTGTAAAATCCTTGCGGCCTCTTTTGGCTTCATTGTTTCATACATTTTCACCAAACGTTGCGTTGTATTATTATCCCTTTGATCCAGCTTGTCATAAATTGCCTGAACTTTTTTTAATTCTTCAAGCTCTGACTTAATACGCTTTTCTAAAGCTTGTAGTTCTACTGCTTTTGCGTCCAGGGACCAAGCCCGTTTCTCAATTTCATCTCTTCTTTTCACAAGTGCCTGAAGCGTGTCAATCTCTGTTGCCGTTAAGCTAAAAGGATCGAAAACCTCCGCAACCTCTTCTTCCTAAGATTCAACTCCAACAGTCTCCTTAGAGTCGTTGCCTATATTGGCCTGCTTTTGTTTTCCATCTTCTCTTTGAGAAGAAGCTTTTTCCAAAGGATCCTTTTTTTCCGCTTTTTCTATTTCTTTTTCAATATTCTCTGTGCTTTCTAATGCGTGAAGAGTTGAAGGTTCAAAAGAAATACTGACTTCTGTTTGGAACTTTTCAGAAAGCCCTTTTCCAAGAGAAGTGACTTTTACGCTCATTAAAAGAGCACAAAAAAACATCACCCAAATAAGAGGGCGTTTTGCAAAGTACCATCCTTCTCTAAAAGAGCTTAAAAAGCGCACAACTTCCCCCTCTAGGCCTTTAGCGAACACCTTTTAAAGAGCGCAACAACTCCGGTACAGCTTCATTATGTTCACCTGCAGCAACCTTTTTTTCTATTTTGGCAGAAGCTTCTTTTTCCTGATCATCCGACTCAACAGAAGCGCTCCGTGCCTTACGAAGTGCTGACTCAAGGGATGAAACAACGTTTTCCCCTTTTTCCAAAAAAAAGATAAGTTCATCGCGCAGAGCCTGAGCTTTTTTACGCTCTGCTTGCAGCTCAGAAACTGCTTCTTTTCCTCTGAATTTTAAGTGCTCTATGCTTTGTTCAGTACGACTTAATGCTTCTGTAAAATTATCTAAAAACCCCTTCAATTACACTTTTGCATTGTAAATACTTTGCAATTTTTTTTGAAGGCGCCATCCAAACAATAAAGACGCCAACAAAACACAGACCACCACAATATCGAGTACAATTCCCCAGGTCATGCCGCGTTCTCCTTTGACTTTGTTTGCAAATATACGTGATCCAGCTGAACCGCAATATTACCGTTCTTTGTTCCCATTTTTCCTTTTCCCACAGGAACATCACCACACAATAGCGCTACATCAGAATCAGGTGTGATATCTAACACCACACGACTTCCCTTCTTCCAATTTAAAGTATCTGATAAAGACACTGTTGCATGCCCCAAAAGACCTGTAATTGGAATTTCTGTTTCCCACAACTCGCGCGCTAAATGTCCCTCCCAAATCGAATCATGGCCAAACTTTTCTCCCATAAACATTTGTAAAAGCAAATCGCGAACAGGCTCAATAGTTGCATAAGGGATTAAAGATCAACACTTCCACTC